TATATATATATATTCTGAGTGGCTCGCTGATCAACTTCATTCCATGAGTATATAACATTTTTGTTATTTAGCTCACTTTCTGAGTGTCAAATCCTTGTTGAAAATAATCCATCAACATTTTATTGTTATTTAGATCACTGTTCCTACAATTTGCTAATTTTTGCAAAACATTTAAGTTAAATGTTATGTCTAAATGTTAAGTCCTAAATCTAAATGTTTAATTGTAAATGCAAAAGTTTAATGTATATGCTGTAGCTAAATGTTGAAGTTTATATTTGAAGCATTTCAGATTCAAACGCAGCCTTTTCTGTTGGTGCCTGACTTTTGTTATGACGTCATCATCCTGCGACAAAAGCAACTGCTAATGCTGTTAACTTTGCTAACGCTACTAACACTGCTAATGTGGCTAATGCTGCTAACATTSCCARTKCTTTCCTAAAAGACATCAAACTTGCGGTTGCAGCCAGTATCCGATCTGCACTTCAAACTGTCGGACCACTGGTACCATCCATATTTTCAATTAACACATTTTAAACTAAATCTGTAAACGCCATCTTCAACGGCATTAGCAGTTGTTTCGTCGCCGGGTGATGATGTCACAACACGAACCGTGCACCAACAGCTAAAAATGCGTTTCCATTCAAGAAATTCTTAAATGTATAAGCTTTTTCATTTTGCCCTGACGTTTAAGATTTAATGTTCGCATTTAGATTTAGGATTAATTATTTAGATGTAACATTTAGCATACAATATATGTGTATATATGAAATAAAACTGTGTTTCTTTAGTTTTGAAAAAGCCTTTATAGAAGGTGGGGACGGTTAGTTCATAATAAATAGTCTTAGAGAGGAAACAGCACTCCTCACATCTCCTGAAGCTCAGGTGGCAGAAAAACTTGTCGTCTCAGCTGTCTGTGTGGCAGCCATCAATCCTTCATCTAAAAGCAGCGTGACGTGGCTAACTCGTCAACATTTTTCTCACAACTTCCATCACCATCTCATGAAGGCAAGCGTCTGCCTCTCCGTCTGGAGCAATTCAAACCAGAGACATGGCTATGGAGACGGTTTTAAGTTCAAAACAAAACTCATGTGTCTCTTATTTTATGCCTTGTGTGTAATTGCAGTAAATAATCCACTTGTTGGTGTAAAGAACAGACGTTGGCAAGAAAAAGCAGTCATATTACTGCTCTGTGTGGGGTAGGTCTAAACCGAACCAGGGTAAACGACTCTGTTGGCCAGATTAGTCTCCCAGAACAGAGCWTTTTGAGCGTCCTCGCCTGGCCTCGGCCATCTGGCTGCCTTCCCAGCACATATATCTCCTCCACATAAGAATGGCTCCAGTCCTCCACACGCTGTTAAAGCGTTTGCCCAATCTCCAACAACAACTCCAGGACGTGTTGATGCACGCGGAGACAAAAACATGCACAAAAAACTGCTCTCCTTTCAAAGCGAAAGTAGCTGCGACTTTCCAAGCTCACATCTTTGAACCAATAAACAAGCGAAACAAAACCAACAGCAAAGATTGGTAACACTGCATTTGCAAGACAACTTATTAGAGATTGGAAATGGCATTAGCTGAAAGCTGAATGTGAAGTAAACTGTCCTAYTGCTCATAAAGCAATTCACAATGATACATATAATAAGTGTCACTTACACACCACCGAGGACATCAATAGACTGTGTCTTCATGCCGTAGCCGGTGTTGTCCATGTTGATAAYGGGCACCGTGAGGTCGATGTTCACGCCCAGCTTGCCAAAATTCTTGTCGGTGAACATTTTCAGGTGTGGAGTCAAGAAATCCTGCGGCGAGAATAAAAACCCACTAATGAGCAAGTCGTGTCACGAGTTAAACGTGGCAGTTAATTAAAAGAAAAAGCTAAATCTGCTCTCTCATTCCCTGCGTTTGAAAGAGAACAAACCTTCAAACTTGGCTCTATTTTTTATCAACAACAGCTCTGGGATTTAATGATTAGAACATTTCGTCCAATAAATCAGTGTGTTTACGAAATACTCAACTCACAAAGGCCACCAGGGAACAATTTAAATTTACTTTATATCACCAATGTGAGTTTCCTTGGTTTTATGCAGCRTTTCTGTAACTAAAGATTTGATTCCCTTTGCTTTATTCCAGCCTGCWTGTGGTCATTATCCAACAAGCACACAGAGAAAATGTGATTATTATAAAGACATGAGGTGCAGGATTTCTTGTTTGACTTGAGCATTAAAAGAAAAGCAATACTCGGTGTRTAATGTGAAGTTTAAAGTGTGGCAAAWKTTTTCTAATAAACATGAATGCATATTTGGAAATATAACACTGATAAAATATTGCAAAAAACACGTCACGCCGCTGACGTGAACAGTTGTTGAGATATTCGCGTGTGAAGCAACAGGAAATGATGCCAAATGATCTGTATAAAATCTACTTCAGCAGAAGTGCCCCATTTTTTGTCCATTCGGTTTTTAACTTTAAACAACTTATAAACATCATCCATCCATCCATCCATCCATCCATCCATCCATCCATCCATCCATCCATC